CCTGCCTATGCAGGGGGTCGGACTCGATGATCTATTGAGGTCCCTTCCAACCCTAGCATCTATGAATCTATGAATCCACACATGCCCCCAGAGTTTCCCCCTGCACCTCACATACACACACATCCATATGCACACCCACACCCCACTTAAGCCCCATACCCATCCACCCATATCTCTCCACACCCCACACAATATACAAGAGTAAGACTTCATTTTGAGCTATTATGGTGTCGCTTCAGAGAGAGGACCCAGGGAACTACCTGCCCTTTGGGTAGGGGGCTGGACTCGATGATCTTCTGAGGTCCCTTCCAGCCCTAATGTCTATGAAATCTAGGAAAACTACAGGCCAATCAGCCTGACCTCAATCCCAGGAATAATCCTTGAAATTTTTCTCAAGGAGCCCATATGCGATAAGCTAATAGAAGGCAAATTTTTGAATGACAGCAAGCGTACTTTTCTCATGGGTAGCTCATGTCTGACTAACCTCATCTCCTACGACCAGGTTACTCACCACCTGGGTAAGGGAAAGGAGGTCGAGGTCATTTACGTGGACTTTAAGAAGGCCTTTGACTTGGTGTCCCATAAGACTCTCAAGGTAAAACTAGGGGACTATAGGCTCAACAATTCAATAGTCAGATGGGTGGGAAACTGGCTGTGGGTTTGGACGCAGAAAGTACTAATAGACAGATCTGGGTTGACCTGGTGGAAAGGTTTGGGGTTCAGTACTTGAACCAGTGCTTTTCAACATCTTCATCAATAATCTGGATGTGGGGGTGAAAAGCACACTGGCAAAGTTTGCCGATGACACTAAGCTGTGAGGAAGTGCGGCCATGCCTCACGGTAGGGTGACAATTCAGGAAGACCTAGACAGAGTAGTTAGAGATGGGCAGACCAAAACCAGATGCTGTTCAACACCGAGAAATGTAAAGTGCTCCATCTGGGGAGGAAAAATCCACAACAAACTTACAGGCTTGGTGGTGCTACACTAGCTAGCACCACATCCAAAAGGGACCTGGGAATCATTATTGACCATAAAATGAATATGAGTCACCAGTGTGATGCTTCAGTTATCAGAGAAACCAATACGCAGGGGGGTTGCACCTGAGGATCTTTCAAGGTCCCTTCCAGACCTTCATTTCTATGATTCCAAAAGTAGGCAGAAAGATGCACATTTCACAGTATTTGAAATTCCCTAATGTAGAAATGGTCTATATGGTCTTCATTTTGCTACAAAAAGCATTTGAGCACTTCCCTAAGGAAATTCTCTGGGGAGAACAGAGGAAAAAGAAAGCATGAGAAAAGCAAACTGACCTCTTGAAACATAAGTACCTCAACCCTGTGCACAAGCCAGAACAAGCCTCCGCATTAGAAATCATCTGGAAATGAAAACAGGTTTTCACTAGGCCCCGTACCTAACCCACTTTTTATCACAGTGATGGGCGTCTGATCTGCAGAGGGATTTGAGGAGAACAGGAAAACTTTTGAGAATGGCAGAGTGAACCAAAGAGTCCAGTATCTGGTCTTTGGAGATGAAGATGTTTGGA